ATTGTATTCATTAGGACTGTTGACAAAACATTTTGGTCTCCTTTGGGATTTAATTTGCAATAGTGTAAGTACTTTTATAATATTCACTTTTTATATTCTAGTGAACAAATTATTTGTTGAAATTTACAAAACAGTTTTGGTTTTAGCTCTTTGCTATTACTTGAATGCCCTGATGTACCCCAATGATGCATTCCAGAATGTCTTTAAATGAGCTCTCAATAATCCCAAAATAGTGTTTAAGTCCAAAATGTCAATGAGACATTCGCAATTCCAGTGAATAGTTTGAATAAACAATTGATCTAGAATTATATCTGAATAAAACTACAAACTCGGATCACAGATTCCCAACGACTAATATTGAACATGAATGAATGATAGTTTACCTATACATAATATATATATATATATATATATATATATATATATATATATATATATATATATATATATATATATATATATATATATATATATATAAATATATATATATATATATATATATATATATATATATATATATATATATATATATATATATATATATATATATATATATATATATATATATATATACCCAATTGACTTGGGATCTAGTAGATTTCCAATGGAAAAACCCAGTAATTCGTAAACAAGGTCAAACCTTGAACTCACATTCAAGAAAACATTTTGTTTACTTCTGACATATATGACGAAAATTCCAACCGTCAGTCGACAGCCCTGATGGATTGTTGGTTAGAGCGTAAGCCTCGGGTGTGGGAATGTTACGGGTTCGATCCCTGGCCAAGTCATACCAAATACTTATAAAAATGATACTAACAGCTGCTTCGCTTCACGTTCAGTATTAAGAGGTTAGTGTTAGGACTAATCGACCTGGTATCAGGATACTGTGACTAGGTGGGACATGATGTTATGTCTTCTGCATGATGCTCCAGTGCTAGACATACAGTTCCACTTTGCAGACGACATAGCAAAATGACTAAAACAAATTTAAAGCTACATAAAAGTCCAAATCATACAAACACCAACCCTCAGTTACGGACAAAAATGAAGCACACACTATTGATATACACCATTCTCTCTCTCTCTCTCTCTCTCTCTCTCTCTCTCTCTCTCTCTCTCTCTCTCTCTCTCTCTCTCTCTCTCTATATATATATATATATATATATATATATATATATATATATATATATATATATATATATATATATATATATATAGATGCAATAAACTGACGACGAACAGTACGAAACTAGCAACTAACTAGCCTAAGCGCTTTCGACTCTTAATGAGTCTTTTTCAAAGGCAAATACAAAACATAGTTACGACAAACAAATAAACACAAAAACGTTGCGTTTGTAAACCTCTACATTTCTATCTTCACATGTGCTAAAACTATAAATACAACCAGCTTGTATAGACTAGTTGCGGAAACTGAAAACGTTGTATAATTCCCTAAAAGTCTACAAGCCAAAGCGACATCTATTTTTACTTTGTGTACATATGTAACGCAGATTATATCCCGGATATTTGGTTCTATACCGGTTATTCTTATAGTAAAAATTGAAGGATAATTTAACATTTTCTAAATCTTCTTATCCTTCAATTTTTACTATAAGAATAACCGGTACAGAACCAAATATCCGGGATATAATCTGCGTTACATATGTACACAAAGTAAAAATAGATGTCGCTTTGGCTTGTAGACTTTTAGGGAATTATACAACATTTTCAGTTTCCGCAACTATTCTATACAAGCTGGTTGTATTTATAGTTTTAGCACATGTGAAGATAGAAATGTAGAGGTTTACAAACGCAACGTTTTTGTGTTTATTTGTTTGTCGTAACTATGTTTTGTATTTGCCTTTGAAAAAGACTCATTAAGAGTCGAAAGCGCTTAGGCTAGTTAGTTGCTAGTTTCGTACTGTTCGTCGTCAGTTTATTGCATCTATTTTAATTAATCCCTGACAAACGTGATCCCTTGGTGGATCCAGTACGCTTGAGAGGGTTGTTATTCGCCATATGATTTGTATTCTTTATATATCTATGTATATATATATATATATATATATATATATATATATATATATATATATATATATATATATATATATATATATATACACACATATAACTCAAATTGATTATAGGCGGGTAGTGATGCTATATAGAATTTCGTCAATCTTTATTATTTCCACTTATGACATTTCTTTTACAAATAATAGCTTGCATAAGAATGAATGTTATTCTTCCATCCGCCATGGCAGGATGGCTTTAAGGACAGTAATAGCATAATAATCCCCAAAAAGTCATTGTAAATTCATCATGACCAAATTTATGTGTGACTCCATTTCCAAATTTAAGGTTGCTCTACCTATACCACTGGATAGTACCTGCAAATTTATATTTTAAATGTTTTATACAACGATTATAAACATCGCAGTGTTTGTGTCTTTTCTTATCTATATTCTTTTGCTGAATGTAAAATGGAAAATTATGCTTGATGTGTTGTTTTCACTAAGCCAATAGCAAAGATAGATAATTTGGTTTGAACCTATCTTTTCTCGGATCTAAACTGAAGCCGATAAGAAAGATGCCACCTTGCCCGTGTGTGTATGTGTGTATGCGTGTGTGTGTATTTGTATGTTTTTCCTCTTCTGATATTCTAACTTTTTCTTACTACAGTAATATAAGTTCAAAAGCCTGGAGATACATAATAGTTTTTTTTAATTTTTTTTCGTTTCCAGGTGGATTCAACTATCTCCCCCCCTCGCCGGTCCCACGCTTACAGCCCAATGTCTCGACTGGACGACTAAATGACTACCCTCTCCCCTCGCCGGTCCCTCGCTTACAGCCCAAAGTCTCGACTGGACGACTAAATGACTACCCCCTCCCATCGCCGGTCCCACGCTTACAGCCCAATATCTCGACTGGACGATTAAATGACTACCCCCTCCCATCGCCGGTCCCACGCTTACAGCTCAAAGTCTCGACTGGACGATTAAATGACTATCCCTTCCCCTAGCCGGTCCCACGCTTACAGCCCAATGTCTCGACTGGACGACTAAATGACTACCCCTCTCTTCGCCGGTCCCACGCTTACAGCTCAAAGTCTCGACTGGACGACTAAATATTTAGTATACTGGCTACCTAGAATGGACATTATACACCGAACTAAAGTCGCTAAAATTGTTTAAAATTTGAGAACATGTTTCAAAATTACTTGTTATATATTTTAATGTAAATGGAATATACGAAAAAAGCAAGATACTTCAGTCACATAATTCACGGATATAATAAATGTCATATCCAAGGAGCTATTTTGTTACGAATGAATTATTTTCATTTTATCACAAAACCTGTTTTAAAAACAAACATACACACTAACAAATACGTTCTGGCGCCTTAGATATTACACGTATGCATTGTCTGATGTCATAACATGGGTTTGATTATAGTAGATCACTGAAAATGCAATTTTTATTTTGAAATAACCCCTAAGAATGTGTTATGCCGTATATATTCGAGCACAAACGTAATCCCCTTGCAGACTGCATAGAGTCAGTACTGCCTTTGCAGATATGTGTATATGCAGTCTATGATTAAACACGTAAAGAAGCAACATGTCATGAACTGTTCGCACATTATGAGATGGCATGTCATGGCATATGTTCTTTACTGTTTGAACATTATCTATATACACATACAGCATCAAAGGCAGAGCAAAACTCAAGGTCTTTTGTTTTCTATGTGACGACCTATATGATGCTCCCACTATTTTATTTCAACTATTATATAAGTCCCTCCCAGGCTTGATTTTATTGGAAGTTAAATTTAGTGAAAGATAGATTTAAAGCTCCTTCCTTCTCCAACTATTGAAGATTTGGCACCTAATGGAACCGAAAGTTATCTGTCCCATAAAAGGCTTCCTTTACAAAGCTTTGTCTTTCCTTAAAATCTACTTCTAAGTTCTGCAGCCAGATTACGAGTTCCTTCTTTTTAGGAGTAAACCCTATTGATCTGAAATCCTTTCAAGAGAATACTAAATTACCCTTACGATTTCGGAATTTCTCATTTTTATTTGGATATCGCTGTTGACAGATCAAATCAAACTTAGAGGACAGGGTCCCTCTCACTGTTTGTCAACATGAGGACGGATAAGAATACGCCCCGTTCACCCTGTGGACTTTCCTTTTGATCCTTGAACAAACCCTTAACATATAGGTATGATAACGGCAAGCCTTTGTTAAGTGATGCAACCGGTCGCCTTTGCTGACTTATGTTTCCGGTATCTAACTGGCCATGGAAACTTTGCGTAAGAATTCAAAACTAACCCCGCTACAATCTTTAGAGGTCAAACACAAGACCGCGTTAATATTCCCAAGACAGATAGATTATAACTTACACATGACTTTATAACTGGGGTTTAGCAAACATTATGGCCTTAAAGGATGTTTTAGCTGTCGTGTTATAATTTGCATAGTAAATATGTAATATAAGTCGCATCTGGAAACATATGTCTTCTGTTTTTATTTTGCATTAGTTGCACAAACCAACAAAAGAAGGCTGAGTGTGGGCAGGGCTGCACTGGGCAGAGCTATACATATAAGCTTTCCTTACATTTCGAACCGAGATCTATACTACAATATGGCGCATTTGAAAAAGAGATTAAGCTGCATTGATAATGTTCGCAAACTTGACAAGATTGGGATTGTGGAAAACGCATCGGTATGCCCTGGCTTTGTAGTCGTGCCATCTCGGGTTCGATCAATGTGTGTGTGTGATTTAGATTTTTAGCGTAGCTTTAATAATTTTTCAGTCATATCGCTACGATGTCTGCAGTGTGACAGTTTAAAGTGATGTCTAGCACTGGGGCATCATGCCGCAGACATGTGGCATGATGTCCTACCCACTCATATTATTCCGACACCAGGCCAACCAGTCCTAGCACTAACCTCTTAATGCTGAGCGCCAGGCGAGGCAGCTGTTAGTAACACTTTTTATAGTCTGGTATGATTCATCTGGGGTTCGAAACCACGACCTCCCGCATCCGAGGCGGACGCCCTAAACAATAGGCCACCAGAGCGTTTCGATCAATGTTATGTGACATGTGCTTGGATAATTGGTTACCATTCTTAATGTTGGGACTTCATGGATAATACTGGGTGTTTAGCTGTAAAAACGTCGTGTATAACTGATGAAAAATAAAGGTTAAACTAATATTTAATGGGTCAGTCTTACTCATAGGTCTACAACACATGTCATTTATTTGATCTAGAGGAATATTCCATTAAAATTTCGGTTTCTTAAAGAGAGAGAGAGAGAGAGAGAGAGAGAGAGAGAGAGAGAGAGAGAGAGAGAGAGAGAGAGAGAGAGAGAGAGAGAGAGAGAGAGAGAGAGAGAGAGAGAGAGAGAGAGAGAGAGAGAGAGAGAGAGAGAGAGAGAGAGAGAGAGAGAGAGAGAGAGAGAGAGAGAGAGAGAGAGAGAGAGATCAGAATTGAAGCAATTCCCAGAATTACAATAATTTTGAAAGTTTTTCCTCGTTGACTTAAAATTTTCTAAGATGTGTTACACGCTAATTAAACGATGTTCTCAAGGAAAAGAATTTTGAGATAATAACATCGCACTTCGTATACGTATATTTAAGGAAAGGCAAAGAAAGTCGTTCGGTGGACGCCGAAGATTATTTTTACGTCCGAGTTATCCATAAAGTAACATCCATAAAATTCAGAACGATCGCCAACACTTCACGGTACAGTTTAAAGAGTTAATGTCACAAGTCCCTAAATCTGCTGTTTTCATTACGTGACTAATGGAGTGTATGTTAGAGAAATAGAAAATACAGTCTAAGGTAAAGTTCAAGAACGTTTAAGACTGTCAATCATTTTGCAACAGTTTGAAATCTTTTCGGATCAGCTGTAGTACACGTGAAGAATTATTTTATTTCAAGGCAAAGTAAATTTTTAACTTTTTTTTTAAAACCTGAAAATTTCTGAATTTTTTTAAAGATTTCGTATGCTAGATAAGTCTTCAATTTCTATTTCGATTCGTTGCTTTTAAAACAAGTAACAGAAAGAAATAAAAAAACCCAAGTCTTGTAAAACTTAACTTCTGAATAGCCTTGAATGTGCTTGTGTGCCACAAGTCTTGATACATCACAGTGTCATTGTATAGAATGTCTTTGAATAAATTTACACTAATCCCAAAACTGACATTTTAATCCAAGCCATACTATAAATGCATTGCATGGAATTCCAATAATTAATAAATAAATTCTCAACATTAAATAAATCTGTATATTGATATTAAAAAAGAACAATGCAAGGAAATATAAATGAATTAGTGTTCTCTAGCACCTTTTATATGCATCCCTAAGACTCTACAATAACTATTGTCACAAAAAAACCCCACCTGATGTAATCATTAAATGGGAAATTACCCCAAATGATAAACAGGTTAAATATATGGATTACAAAAACAAATAATTAATCTATTTATATTTTTATGCAATCTAGTCATGGACCAAAAGTTAATGAAGAATATAGATATACATAACACTTTGCTACATGCTCTTGACTAACAACAAGTAGGCAAGTTAGCCAAAGGTATGAATAACTGATCCATGCCACATATTAAAGAGATTTGAACTTCTTTGGAGTTTGTTATATATATATATATATATATATATATATATATATATATATATATATATATATATATATATATATATATATATATATATATATATATATATATATATATAATGTTTGTGTGCTTGACTTTTGTCCATGACTGAGGATAGGTTTTTTTGGTGCATACCTGCTCTTTGGCTTGTGATTAAACTAAAAGTAGTTGTTTTGGTTCAATGCCCAGCCTTGATTATGACCTTCAAGATTCTATAAACAATTTGTTTACAGCTTACAATTATAGAGGTTTTTCTATTTAAAAAAAATGTTATTGCAAGTTATAAGTCAAGTGGGAAGTACGAGATGAATTATAAATTCCTACCTTAGTACAAGTCTTTAGTTGTGTTCAGTTATAATATTGTGAGGAATCATTTATTTAAATTATTTATTGGAATTAATTGATATTTTGGGCAGAAACACTACTTTGAGATTATTGAGGGCTCATTCAAAGACATTCTGGATCATATCATTGTGATACATGAAGACTATTTGCACATAAGCATACTGACCACCATGTGTAACCTATCTTTTGCTGAAAAAATGACTTTAACCCCTACAACAACAATAACAACAAAAAAGTTTTCCTGTTGTGTCAAAATTCTGATCTGAAAAATACACATAAAGGGTGTTTCAAATAGATATTTAGATAGACTGTTAGATAAGTGCATAGATCATGGAGACACAGACTGGATATGATATAGATTTTTAAAAAGTACAATAAAGAATACCCTATCAATAAACAGCAGACACACAAAATCTGTGACACTTGTCAGAATAAAAGTAATTTTTTAAGTGTTTTCCCTTTTGTTTTAAATATCAAGCTGCACAATAAAATACAAAATATAAAAAAATTATAAAATAAAGTACAATATATTTAAAGTTTGGATTGTACTTTTGATAAGACCCATCAAACCTCTTTAGTTTAAACAGGTAAGGTTCTTAGTTAAAACAGCCTCAAGGTAAGTGAAAACCACAACATACCATATTTAAAATCATGTACCACATGTATCTGCTTATTTAAAATCACATACCTCATATATCTGCTTATTTAAAATCATGTGCCACATGTATCTGCTTATTTAAAAATCATGTACCACATGTATCTGCTTGTTTAAAATCATGTACCACAGGTATCTGCTTATTTAAAGTCATGTATCACATGTATCTGCTTATTTAAAATCATGTACCACATACATCTGCTTATTTAAAATCATGTACCTCATGTATCTGCTTATTTAAAGTCATGTACCACATGTATCTGCTTATTTAAAATCATGTACCACATGTATCTGCTTACTTAAAATCACGTACAACATGCATCTGCTTATTTAAAATCATGTACCTCATGTATCTGCTTATTCAAAGTCATGTACCACATGTATCTGCTTATTTAAAATCATGTACCTCATGTATCTGCTTATTTAAAATCATGTACCTCATGTATCTGCTTTTTTAAAATCATGTACCACATGCATCTGCTTATTTAAAAATCATGTACCACATGTATCTGCTTATTTAAAAATCATGTACCACATGTATCTGCTTATTTAAAATCATGTACCTCATGTATCTACTTATTTAAAATCATGTACCTCATGTATCTGCTTATAAGCCTGGTCCAACTGCAAATAACAAGACCTGGAACAGCCATTGCACAAAGAGCCAAAGATCAGGGTTTACATTGATTGATTACACCTAGCAAACTGCATACACCCAGATCTTCTGATGCATTCTGCAACATCTGACCTTGGTGCAGTTGGTTATGACTTAACATGTACCTATATACAGAATCCCAATTACATTAGTATTTGAATGTCATATACAATTAAGCTGGCTTACTATTTCTTCATTTTATCTACCATGGTCCCATTTTTAGTAGAGTTCTTTATTTTAAATACATGGAATGAAAATAAATTAAGTATAATTATTAAAAATAAACACAGAATGAAAACAAATTATTAGTTATTCAAAACACACAGAATGATAATAAATTTATTACATTATTCAGAAAAATCTATATACCAAGTATACAGTGTTTCCGCAACTGTTTGCAACACCTGCTTACTGTCCCAAATCATCATGTTTTACTGTCAGTTTACTGTTAACATTTAAAAAAAATATAACTGATAAATCTCTATTTACTGCCAGAAACAATTTTCTTTTGATTTCCTACTTGAATCAAAGTCAGTGGGTACAAAGCAAATGGATAAATATAAAATAAATAAAACAAATCTGTGATCCTGGAAAAATAATACAATTAATATAGATTTAGTCTGATACCAAACAGATAAGGCATTTCAATCAATATAATGTACACTTAGACAAAACACTATATCAAAAGAGGAAAGTCAGTATGCACTCTATCCCAATATCTAATTATACTTGTATTAGCTATCTTCCTACAAATTCTGTAAATACATATACCTGTGAATTCATTCAGACTTTATACTGGCTAGTAACCTTAAGTCTAAGTGTAACTAATTTTTGTACTAATTACTGCTCATGATGTACTATATATGGCAGACACTTGATTTGGTTTGATATATTTCCAATTAATGTTTTTATATATTATGCAAACAGCCTTAAAATTTTCATTTAGTTACATGGTATACAAATATGTATTTTCAAATATTTTATGTGGTGTGGGGTACTGCACATGTAAATCTTAAATAAAAGTAGTCTGTTCATAACATACAAAATGATTAAACAACAAAAAGAAGATACAGTAAGTACCTGATTAAACCCTGTGGAGGCCCCTAGGCAGTTGAAATCTTGAGCCCCCCTCCTGCAAATTATCTCCTAATATGTCAAAATCAAATCAATTCCACATTATTTTGATCCATTATCCCTGGGAGGAGGCATTAAAGGCATTGGGCCCATAGGTTGGCCACTAATCTGTCTATTGGGTAATCCAGCACTGATCCTAGTTTACAAAAGCCATTCTGTCCATAAATATAACAGTTTATCAAGTGAAGCATACAAATCTATGAATACATTGTTATTATTATTACTTCCATTATTATGCAATGACTATGATTCGTTATAACAACGGCACTAAAGTGTTTTACCAACAACATAATGCCTAGGGGATGAGGGTGGACAGGTTCAACGTAGTTGTTATAACAATCAAAAGTGGGTCATAATAGGTCTTAATCTTATAAAAGTAGTTGTAGTTGTAGTTGTTGGGCTTAACGCCATTTTTCAGCACACGATAGGCTATTCATGGCGGCCAGTATTAATGGTGGAGGAAGAAACCGGGGAAATCACCGGAAAGAACCACCGACCCATGAGAAGCTACTGGCAAGCTTTCTCACATATCCACATTCAACGAATCCTAGACTCCAACACACGCAGACAGAGGTGAGATGGCAGTGATCCATAACGGACAGCGCTTTAGACC